AGCACCCAGCAAGGGCAATGACACTGCACTTTGCTTGTTCCAGATGCCCATGTTCCAGCAGAGCCTAGAGCCAAGGAGCAGCAGCACGGTTGCAAACATCCAAAAGCAGAAAGTGACACCAGGGATGCGCGAGTCTTGAGCTCAGGACTAATGGTGGCTTCTTGTTTGTCTGGTATGAAAGGTTATCTTGCTGGAAGCACCAGCTGTATTGTTGGGCCACCCTTGTGCTGTTGGAAGCAGGCTGTTAGCTGCTAACGTATAAAGCAAAACCTTACCAGCCTTCTTCAAGCAGAAAAACAAATTGGAGAAGACAGAGAAACGAAATGGAACAAGGCAACAGACGGTGTTAGCTTAGGAAAGAGGAACAGAAGGGTTCGAGACCCTGGCCTGCATTTGTGTCAGTTTTGTTATCACCCTTGAGATTTAGCTCCTCTCTACCACATGGTTTACAAATTGCAGGGTCAAGTAAGAAACAAGTTTTTGTTAAAATGACAGATTTGTTCCTTTGGTACACAAATACGAGTTTTTCTGATAGCCTACTGACACAAGCGAGCCAAATCTATATAAATAATAAACCAGAAAACATCTTCAGCTCTGTTTCACTCCAATTAGCAGTTTCCAGATCTCTTACCGAGCAAGTGAGATCTCATTCTATCAACCAGAAAACCTCATTACTCTGATGCAGGTACTGATCCATGCACCACTGTGGTGGTCGCAGGAGATTTAGGGGATGCTGTCCCAGACGGAGTGATGCTGCACCGGTTTGGCATGGAGAACCTTTACTGCTTATGGTGATGAGCAAGATGCATGAGCGAGGGAGTGTAGAAAGGAATAGTCAAGGGAGGTGGAGAAAGAGAAATCTGGCATGATTTGGTAAAATTTACAGGGCTAACAGAGGGTCTTGCTGTATATTTGCAGATAAGCATAGCACACTTGACGGGGAAATACAGAACAAGCAAAGGTGTCTAACACTGGACTTCTGCTGGTTTTGATGGTCAGTCCCATCATAATGTGTAGTTCTAGACAAAGCTTTGCAGGGCAGAGGAGGTCTGTACCAGCCACTGTAACTACAAGGGTTAACCATAAGGGCTCCCTGTGGTTGGACAATATGAAAAAGCAGTAGCATTTTACAGTATTTCTGGTCACACCCAGCACTATCTGCTCCCCGTTTTCAGCAGCCTCCCTATTTTCTCTCTGAATTATCAGAGACATTAACAAGAGTCTTTTCCACTCCCCACTTTGACTGATCTTTCTAATTAGAAGCACTGAACAAACAGATCTGAGGAACAGCTTGGCAGCAGCAAGCAGCCTCGCTGCACTGCACGCAGGGCATGGAAAAAGCTCTGCTCTCCCAGGGACAACGTGAAAGCTACAGCGCGTGACTCAGCCTTAGCCCAGTAACTGCTCCCCAGGGAATCCGAGACAACCCCTCCAAGCATTCCTGCCTATTTCTGCGCACGCCTGGATCAAACAACAAAAAGCACTCCTTGAAATAATTCCATACCTTTGATAAAGACACACCTCCCCATCAACTAATGAGTAAAGAGCACTGCGAAGCTTTGCCTGGTGATCCACATCTGTGGACACATCCAGGCTGAAGCCAATACTGAGATGTGGATTTTTGTGTAAGAGCTGCACTCTGTGCCATGCAGACATGGCATTTCATTAAGCACGGGGTAATAGCTTGATTCCCTTAGGGACCTGCTGCTGGAAAAATAGAACATCTCCTTTCATAAGTAGGCAAGGTCACCGTGCGCCCCACAGTCCTCAATGCACATGTTCATTTTGGAGCTGATGCTGAGATAATTGAGTATCTGTTCCTTATATGTTTCATATTAGTGTAATGACACATCTTCGTGTAAAACTAATTTTACAAGTTCTGAGGAAAACCAACATCATCGCCATCTGTCCGGCTACTCCAGAATACAGAGGGAGAATTCTGATTTATGCTCAAATTATTTTTTATATTTTTACACTTCATGTTGGATTCAGCATTTGAAAAACTCCAGATAAGAAACGCTTTAAAAGCACAAACTAAGGCATTTTGTCCCTTCACACTTCAACACCCTTTTGTGACTTACAATTTCTTTTTTTTATTTAATGGGAGTCATCTTCCAGAAAATTCATGTGAACACACTGTGAACAAGACAGCTCACAAATGTGTCACCTTCAAGTTTAACCCCTCTAAATATAATAATAGAAACCCCAGAAATTTCACAGAGATACATGAAGCGAGATCAAAAACGAGAGGCAAAAATTTCTTTCAAAATATTAAGTACTACCAAAAATCCCCGGAGGACCTTACCTGAAGAACCTAAGCATTATGAGTGTAACTAATTCCTGTCAATCTACTTCTCTGCTTTCATTTTATTTCATCCCAAATACTATTCTTTGTTTAGAATATTTAGAAACTGTCAAACTGCTCTTCTCTATTCCTCTGGTTCCTGGAAAACTTCTGGATACGAAAATGAGAAATTCCAGAGGATAACGCTGGGTCAAGGCATAATGTAAAAGAAGAAAGAGTTACTTTCAAAGTGAATGTGTGATCGGGTCAGTAGAGAAGGTTACACTGGGTAGAATATGAAAGTAGAAATAATGTATTTTCTCCTAAAACCAGATACAAATACTGTATTGCATTAAATCCAACAGTTTGTGGGGGAAAAGAATAATTATGCAGTAGAGATTAGAAATTACGTATGCACACATAAGGAAGGGATTTTTTTCTGAATTTTCCTGTGCTTACTCAAATACACGCATTCTTCGTCAGAGATTATGATCAAGAATGCCAAATGCAAATGTTGCCTGCAGACTTGGAATAAGCTTTTGCTGCATTTTTATTTGTTTTATAGCTCAGGGGTTTCCCAAACTGGAGAATGCAAGCCACAACTGTAAATGAAAGTATAGTCTCTCACTTTGTTTGTGAATGGCTGATTATGTGGCTTAAAGACATCCAGCAAATTTACAACTGGACACAGTACGCAAAAATGTTAATGATGCTTCTTTCCCTCTTCATCTGCCCTGAAATCAACAGTTACTGGAATGAACAGTTTCACTTCTGGAAAAAAAACAAAACCAAAGGCTGTCAACATTTTCACGTGTAAATAACCTTTGAAGAGTTGGGTTTCTGCCTTAGGGAAGTATTTTTGCGTTTTAAAAAAATAACAGCATCAAAAAGGCACCTTCTTCCTTGAAGGGACCTCAATGAGTTGTGATCATACCCCTATATTTTTTTTTTTTTTCTTTTCAAGGCTGCTGCAACCTTACTTGGAGACTTATTTTGTTCATTTGAAACACACTGAAGCAGGCTGTCAAAGGTTCAAGAGGAGGTTATCAAGTCCTGTTTGCATGTCTAAAACTGCTGACACATGCTAGGAAAAAAAAAGGCTACATTTAGTACAGCTGCAATGATAAAACAGCTACTAGGGAACCTCACCTATAGCTAACACCACCACCAAGCTGTGCTGGCCCGCTGAAGAGATAAGCCAGGAGTATTTATATATAAAATGCAAACAAAGCTTAGAGAAGTCCCCCAAAAAATAATGTTTGTAATTTTCTTAGTGTTTTTTTGTTTGTTTGTTTGTTTTATAAAAAGGCAAAACCATGCAAGCACATGACATTTGGGATTCTGTGGTTTGATGATGAAAACCATTACCCACAGTCTTCAGCTGAAAGCTGTAGAAACAGCTGAAAAGTGTTAATCGAAAGGAAAAGTAATGAAAAATTGTGCACTTAACAGACTTGCAAAAAGCAACAAAAGCAGTGGTTTCCTTTTATATTACTCACAAATTTTCCTGAACATGAAAATAACCTGCCCTCTGTTGAAAACACGCCAAAACCCACACCAAAACCACAACTGTATTGTTGAACACAGTTTAGATTTTTCTAGCTTGTTGCCTGAAAACATTAAGAGGAAAAACGCATGTCTTCTCCCAGACTTACTTGTCTCTAAGTCAGATCAGTTATCTATAGACCTATCTTAATTCTAACTGCAGTAGAAGTACATTTCCAGTCAAGTCTTGTTCAAAGTTTTAGACCAATGCTCTAAAGATATGTTGACATTTCTCAGATTAGTTCCAAGCAATTCCTTGCCTACTAGGGCCAGATCTGTCCCTTCCCTTCATTTCACATCAGGCATGTACAGATTCACACTAGTGGCGAGCGTTAGCTTGAACTCTGGCACTTAACACAGCTGGAGGAGTCTGAGCAAGTTCATGACCTCACCACTGGCCTAAGCTCCTGAGGACCTTGAGGTCTTCGGGCCAAGTCCAGTGTAGATAACTGGTCTAGCAGCTTCTCCTCACAAATCTTTACATTAAATGCAGCAAAGAGCTTTGACATCCTTCTTGACACTAGAGATCTGGATTTCCTCGCCGGGGCAGCAAGCTAAAAGCTCAGTAGAAACAAGCCACATGGGTGGAGGTGGTGCAGGTCTGTTCTTTAAGTCACAGGTCCGTCTTAGCCTTTGTGTTCTGCTGCAAGCAGTTAAACTGGAACAGACACCAGACCGTGGCAGACGCCCCAGTGCACTGCAGCTATGCGTGGCCACCAGGCTTTGCCTTATGGAATGAATTAAATGCCCCAATAAGGGCAAGGGGCAGGGTGTGATGGGTTCACACCGTTTTTGAATGCTAATGCTTGAATATTAAGTTTTCAAAGTGGGGGAAGGAACAAAAAGTTCATGAAAGCAAAACGCCACTCTTGCTAAAAGGAAATTTGCTAAGGCAACATGCTTTTGAAAAATAATTGTCCTTAACAAACAGCAATCCAAAAAGAAAGATAAACATTTACCACAGTGTAAAATGCTGTTATCACCTACCAAAATCAAACAGATCCAGGTTCATTCACTCACATTTTTTGTTTGGTTTAGCCATTAAAAAAAAAAAATAAAATATAATGGTTATAGCAGAAGGCAGTATTTTATTTTTCATTAATTATGTCCTTTGCTTCACCCACCTAAATGGATTTAAGATTAGACTCTAGAATAAAATATAGGACCTTACCTTGCATTTCAACATGTTGGCCACTCTCTCTTGCATTGACTGTCCAGCCTTTGGCCTGACAAGTATATAAACTGCTTTCACTTCAGGGCTGGAGCGCAGAAGCTTTTCCACCAGTACTTTGCCCATGAAACCAGTAGCTCCTGTGATAAGTACGTTCTTTCCATTGTAATAAGCTGAGACCGAAGACATGGTGCTTTCTTCTTCTGTCCTTCCTCTAACTTTCTGCAGGAGGTACCTGAGAAGATGCAGAAATAAAGCTTTAAGGGCTTTTGAGTCAAGACACAGACCAGTTATTTCAGAGTTACCGAGTCCGAGATAACATTTCCTAGTCAACTATGGCAGCTCATATTAGTTAAGTCACTGGCAATTTTAAAGATGATTTTTTTAAAAAAAAAGCCTTTATTATGAAAATAAACCACAAAAATTAAAAAGGTTAATCGGAGAAGCTTAAAAACATCAAGCTCGGTCTTATCCTCTGCATTACACCATAGCTGCACTCAGCAGTCACAGCTTAGAACATAACTCGTGTTGCCCAGGAGTCCTGGCAGTGGATGCTCACTGCCATGCTGAATAGATTTATCTCCCACACTGTGAAGCGGCAGCCACGAAGGTGCCTACAAGGCAAAGTAGAAACAGATCTCACAAACACTGCAGGTACAACTGCTGCGTTTTCCACGTTAATTCCACTGGGCCAAGCTGTCACATTTCTCGTCAGCCATCACTCAGCAATGTTCGCGATCTCGTCCTATTCTCCTGGCTTGGAATAAAACCATGAAGAATGCTCTTCTTCACGGAGAACACGACATTGCTCTGTAAGACTGCAATACCATGCTCCTTAGAGTTAAGTGGGATGAATTTTGGCCTTAACAGCCAATAATGGGTGATGACCTACACATGGGAGCACAGGTTGTTTGAACTGCCCTTTGGAGATCTACTGACTATGTAAGGGGGCTGACATGACCAGGATCCCACATGAAGTGTCCCAGTTAAGTATTTTAATTAGATATAATGGTTTCAGGCCTACATGTCCCCAGCCATCCCAACTTGAACTCTAAGTTGATTAAATGACAAACAAGGCTGGACTGAATCCTCTTAGAACAGCCCCTCTCTCTATTAGACTAATGGAAGGAGAAAAACCCCCTCCTATCTTTGAAGTGCAGCAGATCGCAGCATGCACAAACCACTTACATTCCAAGGGAAAGGCTTAGGGAAAATATAAATAAATGCTTTGAAAAAAGACAACTAAATTTGAAACAAAAAGAAGTAAGAACAGCAGAATGCTGTCAGTTAAGTATTCAAGAACCAGGACAATGATCTTCAGATACCCCAGAAAAACTTTTTTCCTCTGCAGAAGCTTCAGAAACACTGTTGGCCATTTCAAGTTTCTCAACATGAAATGAGTCAACTGCATGCTAATAAAATGCAAATACATGCAGCATTTGCACATTTTTTGCAGTCTTCCAAGACTCCCTGTTCTCAGCAACACTTTTGCATTTCAGGGACCGTGAAGTAGCCTAACTTAGAACAAAAACCGCAAGCCTTCATATAGGAACTTTTTATATCCTTGTCCTTGGCTTTAGCCTCGTCCTTGGCTTTGACCAGCACAAATGAACAATAACAAAGAGTTTAAGCACTGTAAGAATCCCCGTTACATGGGACCTTCACCACAGGGGACCATGAGAGAAATACGGCTTGCCCTACAGCCCATGCCTTTCTCAGGACGTAGCAAGGTATCTTACCCCAGAAAGCTGACCACCAGCTATGTGACACCACAGATCATTCCTTACAAGGGGTACTGTGGTCACTGCAACACTCCGGAATGTGTTTAGCTGGGTTATCACTCACAACAGTGAAAAACAATCCACAGTTGGTGTTCATGTGCTGTTGTTATCTGGGTCTAGAGCTGATGCATCTACCCAGACTTTTCATTTCTCCCAATCTGCCAGTTCCCACAATCACTGTTCAGCTACATGGAAGCATTGAATGTATATTGCTAACAGACGATAGCCCAGACACATCAATGAGACACTGAAGCCCAAGAAAATACTGCTTTTTCCCAGTGCTGCCTGGGACTGCAGTACAAAGCAACAAACACATGGAAATCCCCAAATTTCTTTATCTGGAGTGAATCATCAGGTGTGCCGTCCAATTTAGAAAGTGGGTCAAGCAGAATAACTTCTGAAGGACACTATTTTATAAATTAATAGCTGTGGGTATTCTGGCTCAGTTAATTTGGGTATTAGCCTACTTTCACATATGGCCTAGATCACAATTTAAATGGCTGTAACAGGCTTGTCTAGGCCTATTAAAAACCTGTCCTTATCAAAGAGCTGGCCACTTGGGAAGTTAAACAGGTTAAACTATTAGATAATTAACTTATTTATAATAAAATGTCACATCTCATTCAGGTTCAGAAAAGCTGAGCGATACCGGAAGACAACCTGGCAGTGTGTGAAAGGGTGCGCGAGTCCAAAAAGTAGGCATTAGTTTAGCCAGATGAAGATGGAGGTTACAAAAGACTTCGGAAATTTGGTACAACACATGCCCTGCAAAGCAGAAAAATTAATGAGAGACGTCCTTAGTCACTAGAGGACATCAAATTATACTGAACATAAAGAAATGAAAAGATGAAATATCGGACAACTTCCAGTCACCGGATACTTGCTTTGAACTTGTATTCAGAAGATTGTATCTACCTAACCTCACCTAACACTCCGCTAGAAAAATGGTACATTTATAAATTATAGTACGTTCCATCATGGACTTGGAAATTACCACAGTGTTTAACAGGAATTACTCTCCTTCAGTAGTACAGAACATTTCCAACCTGCATCACTAAACAGTGGTGCTTTGCATTACAGCTGTAGATTACTGCAAAAATAGCTGTTAAGGTTTTGGAATGTGGACATCAATTTCTTATGTTGCTTTATTTGGGTTCTCTGAGTTATCCAAATGGGTCTTCATTTGTTTTGGCCAGATGTTGGATGCCTACTAGACTTGTTAAAAAAAAAAAAAAAAAAAAAAAAAAAAAA